GATAAGGCACTCTGGGCAGGATCAAATGCTTATTCATTCTATGGCTCATAGGCTTCTGAAAGCCTGAGTTTGACCTATCCAGGAATTGAGCTATTCCGGCACCCACAGAAATGTGTTCTTACTGGGGGCAGGAAGAGGAAATTCCTGCTCATTACTGACTTTGTCACCAAGAAGGACAGAGACTAAGGCAGAATCTCCAACCTGGAAATGAAAACTGAGCTTCATATCAAGGGTTGGGTGCCCTCAGCTGCATTCATCAGATATTTGGTTTTTCTCTCTGAGCAAAAAGAGAAAAGATGCCATGGTGTGTGTCTGAATAAGCCCTCCTAAATTTCCTATATTTATCTCTTAAAGGAGGCTCAGCACCCACTTCATGAAAAAAAAAGCAAGATGTTTTCAGATACATAAAATGAGGGCACAGAACGTGACTAATTAGTTTTAACCTTTTTTATAACAACACATGCATATTGCTTTAAAAATAATATAGAATCAGGCATGGTGCGGTGGCTCACACCTGAATTCCAGCACTTTGGGAGGCGGAGGCAGGCAGATCACTTGAGGTCAGGAGTTCAAGACCAGGCTGGCCAAAATGGCAAAACTCGTATCTACAAAAAAATAAAAAATATTAGTCAGATGTGGTGGCACATGCCTGTAATCCCAGCTACTTGGGAGGCTGAGGCAGGAGAATCGCTTGAACCTGGCTGGGGCAGTTTCTGTGAGCCAAGATCACACCACTGCATTCCAGCCTGGGCGACAGAGCAAAAGAAAAACAAAAAAAGAATTGAAAAGTGCAAAATTACAAACAACAGAGCCCTGCCCATTTCTTCCCCACCAAATCCCACTCTCCTAAGGCAACCACTTCCCTTCTTTTATCCCAATCCTCTGATCCAGTCAGGAAAGGCATTGTCTATGCCAGAGACACAGCTTCATCCTGGGAATCTTCACACCCCCTCCCTGGGTGAAGCCACCATTCCATGACTCTTGGGATTGCCCTATTCTTAGTCTATTTCTGTTTCTGACTCATTTGCTTATCTAACCCATTTATTTACCATCAAGTCATCTAGGTATAAACATCAAAATATTTCTCTCTTTTTTCCTTTTCTTCTTCTTTAATTTCTACTTTCGATGTTGCTGTATTCACTTGCTTTCTATCTCACTGGATATCAGGTCCTCTAGCAACATACCAATCAAACTTCACAACTTTCTTGTTATTTATTTATTTTTTTCAGAAGAGCTTCTCAAGATGGTGGGCATAGGCGAATGGGTCGTGTTCCCCTACCAGTGCTGAGATGTTGGGGGCCAAGAAAAAGCATAGGAAAGGATAGGAAAGGCAGAGTTCTGGCAGCACTGGCTTTGGGTTTGCAGAGCGAGGGGTTCCCACACTTTCTGGTACAGTCTGATTTCCTTTGGTTGCAGTAAATAGTGTGTTGTAGTTTCTTGGACAGTGTGACTGACCATCAGTGTCACGCTGCCTGTCTCCATCATGAAGCTCTCTCAGGACTTGAATAGCTCCCAGGTTCAAATTCTTTTCGTGGTTGGACATCCCATCACTTGACACATTAATCCCTTGGGGAAAATCTCACGGTTCCAACCCTTCTGCCAACCACTGGCTTCTTTGCATGGAGTCATGCAAAAAAGTCTTCTACACTTTAAGTCTCTAAAAGTTCTGAGTTGGGGTGGGAGTTTCTGACAAGTTCTTCCAAGGAATGTAACCACACAGTTTCTTTAGGTTCTGCTGGTGCTGGGAAGGTTAGAACCTTGTCTTCACATATCTCTAGAGTACACCACACTTCAGTAAAATCACATCAGGGTCTCCCTGAACTCCCTCACCACACGCTGCCCTGGCCAAGGAGCCAAGGTGAGCCTGTGGGTCTCTAGGTGTGGCAAAGCCCCCAGTCCGACTGCCTGTTTGAGTGATTCACTTGGGAGGCTCCATCCTGGTTATGGCATAAGAGAGCATCCCCTGGCCCTTCTCCATGAAGAGGTCAAGAACTCGCCTCTCACTACAAGGGATGCCTTTCCTACAAAGCATCCCACTCCCTTTCTCTCTTCCCTGTCTTCCTCTTATTCATGAGATATTACATACACTTATTTGTTTACCAAAAGATATTTGTTAGTTCCTGTAAGAGGTCAGCACCATTCTAGCCATTGAGCACATAGTTCTCTGGTCTCATGACAAAACAGGTTCCCTGGCCCCACAGAACTGGCATTTTGGTAGTGGAGACAATAAATAAATAAATGAATACATGCATGCATACATACATTTTCCAAAACCATGGAAACATACATTCTATGAAGAAAATAATTGAGCAAAATAAGGGGCTAGGACATGGGTGAGGGACTCTTGGAGATAGGCTGACTGGGGAATATCTTTTGAGAAGTAGTCTTTTTTGCATATGCATGGAAGAAGTGAGAGAGTGGACCACTTGTTGACCTGGGGAAGCCTATTCCTTCAGAGGAAGAGGAAAGGCTCCCTGCAGGCAAGGGTAAGCTTGCAGGGCAAGAAAATCAGCAGAACCCAGTGCATCCGGAGCAGGGAAGTCAGATGGGCAGGGATAGGTGGCAGCAGAAAGATAAGGAGGACCCAGATCATGTGGGCTTGGTGAGTGCTTTGGTTATTATTTGGGGTGTAAAGCAAAGCTATTAGAGGATTCTGCGCAAGAGTGAAAAGAGAAGAGGTGCCATGGTGTGTGGTCTGAATAAGCCCTCTTAAATTTCCTGTGACTCTAGGGAGGTAAGAACAGAAGCAAGGAGACTATTACAATGCTCCAGAAGAGAGAGTCAATGGTGGATTTCAGAGAGCCGAACCACAAAGAGTGATTGGGATTAGGACTGACCAACAATATTTGGTTTCAAGAGTAATGATTTTCTTTCCTAGCCAACATTGAAGCCGAGTCTGATTCCTAATTCACAGTTAGGAAACCATGAGACCTCCAAGTCCTCTCCTCTCCTCTCCTGGGCACATTACAGATTTTTCAGTATCCACAACTGAATGCAAGACTATGTTCCAGCTAGTGCAGCATGCAGGAGACTATGACCCAGGGGAGGCATGTCACATAATGGTTAAGAATAGAGAGACTTGGCTTCTAACTTGGCTAGATTTCTTAGTAACTGTATGACTTTGGGCACATTCTGTCATCTCTCAAAGCCTCTGTTTTCTTACATGAGAAATAAAATTAATAGTCCCTAAATAGCTGTGTGTGGGCACATTGACTCCCGCCTGTAATCCTAGCACTTTGGGAGGCTGAAGCAGGGGCATTGCCTGAGCTCAGGAGCTCGAGACCAGCCTGGGCAACATGGTGAAATCTCTTCTCTACTAAAATATAAAATACAAAAAATTAGCCCAGCGTGGAGGTGGGTGCCTGTAGTCCCAGCTACTCAGGATGCTGAGGCAGGAGAATCACTTGAACCTGAGAGGCAGAAGTTGCAGTGAGCCGAGATTGCACCACTGCACTCCAGGCTGGTGACAGAGCGAGAGCGAGACTCCGTCTCCAAAAAAGAAGAAGAGTTGTGTGTGAAGATTAAAAGGTTACTCAGGTAAAGCTCTTACAACTTTATCAGAAATAGAATAAGCTCTCAATATTTGTACAATATAAACGTGACATAGTGGGTGTGTATAACTCCTGCAAGGAGTACGGTGCTTGGCCTGACATCAGATGAAAACACAGCAATGGCTTCATGCAGTTTAGTAGGTCAAGAGAGCCACACCTCTGCCTCCAAGGGAGACGCACCTCTGCCTCCAAGGAAGACCAGTAAAGGCAGACTCAGCAACTGGCCTAATCCCAATTTCCCAAGGAAGACCAGTAAAGGAAGACTCAGCAACTGGCCTAATCCCAATTTCCTCATTGCTGTTTTCTGATGTTGGTTCTGCTCTTGTTAATCCGGAAACACAGACCAGTCACGCTTGTGTTGCTCCACTGTCACTCATCCAGAGCCTCACAAGACCTTTGGGCCATATCAACTTTCTTGCCAAAATGAACACATCCAGGAGCAAGAGAGAATGTTCTTTCCTTGGTCATTAAGGGGCCTGGAAGTCCTGGACCAGCTTTTCAAACACTTACATGCAGCTAGAGCCTTGACTTTGAAACCAGGGACAAGGGCATCTCTTACTAAAGGTAACTTCTACTGCTCAGAACCCAGGTATGCGGAACTTCTTTCACGTCTCTGTGCTTAGCCTTAAGGTGCCTCTGGGAGTCTTGTCAAAGGTACAGAGTACTGAAGGAGCCAAGGCTGCTTGCAAGCGTGCAGGTTGGTGATCTGCTTACCCACTGTGTGGACAACTATTGAATCAGACATCAAAGATCCTGAGGGAAGGAGGATTGTGAACAACTGGTTCTCATTGTGGAGAGTCTGTGATATTCTTGGGGACTGTTCTGGTGCCCTAACTAGAAAACCAGAGGCAGATGACCCCTAATAGTCAAAGCCCTTTGTGGAGCCCACCAGTGGCCATGTGCAGGATCCTTACAGATGTCTCTTTGGATGAGGAATGGAGGAAGATGGGCTCAGTGAGGCAGGTTAGCTACCAATTACTTAGGAGTGTTCAGCTTCAAGTGAGGAAAAGTGGTGATTAACCTGCTGTGTGGAGGGCTAAAATGGAAATACACACACATACACACACACACACACACACACACACACACACACACTCCCTCCCTCCTTCCTCTCAACCCAGAGACTCAGAGCACTAGAAGGTGCCTGTGGCGATGTGTTGGAACGTCCTAACAATCCCAGATGCAATGAATGGAAAGCATGCCAAGACCTTCACAGCCTGGAGAAGCAGGACTCTGCCAGCCACAGCACAGAGGGGAGCTTCCATTCAGGGTTTTGTGGCCTTGAAATATGCTGTACCCATCCTTATTCTCAAATATGCATCTGGCAGAGGCTCTCAGGGCAGCTCTCTCTAAAGAATTTTTACAGTAAAATTTTAGGAGGAGAGGAGAAAAAAGCATAACATTTTTCTTCTCTCCTTCTCTCACATGGCCAACTGTTAACAACCTCCTCACCACCATCTGATCTATCTGGTTCTCTTCACAACAGGCTCTGAAGACATCATGAACCCACAATGTAAGTGGTGAGTTGCAAATCAGCTTGGAAATATCTCCACCTGACCTCACCAAAGACAACAGGGTGGAAGGACCCCTATCATTTGCTAAGCTGTCAATGTATTTGCTCTTGCTAAAACACTCAGTTCATAAAACAGCCTTTGAAAATCTCAGGGCATCTAGCTCTTTTATTATTATCTGTATTTAGAATTGCTTGTTTATTTTGATAAGAGGATTTTTAAAAACAACATACTGATAACTAATTTAAATATTACGAGGTTTTGTTACCACCTAGACATTTTATCATTCAGAAAAAGACAAGTCACTAATAGCCCTAGGAAAAGGTGAATCTTGAGACTGGGATTGCACATAGATCCTTTCAGATGCTTTGATTCACAAACTAGCCCCTGCCCTATTTCCCCTCCATTTATCGTTATAGCCACTACTTCTCAGAGCAATGAGACTCTCTCCAGAAACTCAAAAGCCATTAATACCAGGATGCAACTGGAGTCTTGAAGTTGATAACCTCACATGTATTTTGTGCATTTTTGTCATCTGGCAGGGCAGGCAGCACCCAAATCCTATGCTATTCGTGATTCTCGACAGATGGTGTGGGTCCTGAGTGGAAATTCTTTAATAGCAGCTCCTCTTAGCAACCGTGTTAAGCCTGGTGAGTGACAATCAAACCCACTGTTGCTTCTTGAGGTGATGCCAGCTTCACCAGGAATGAGGCTGAACTTGCACAAGCCTGGCCCTGGACCTCGCCCACGTCTAGGCACCAGCCCAGTGGCCACAGGGAAGGTCAAGTGAGAAAGGGTACTATGATTCCCTTCCACAAAGGAAATCCCATATCTAGAAATGAGGGTGTTAAGGGTTGATAGCTCCTCTTACCAAAAGAAAATATCTTCAGATTAGAAGGGCTTATCCATTCAAACAACAGCTAGCCTTCTCCTTGGAGTTTCTCTCCTTCAGGTTCCAACCATTGCTACCTATGTCCTCAGATTCAAACTCCATCATCTTTCCACCACCAAACCTATACAGCTTTCTAAGTTGGCATCTTCTTTTCTAATAATGGGGAAACATTCCTTCCTCCCATCAAAAGTCAGTCCATCTCAGTTTCTTTCCCTGTATCCAGAACTTCAACGTTTAATTCCTCACTTACCTGCAAATTCCACCTTTGTTTACTGGACCCTTTCTATCATTGTCAGACATGCTGTAACCCTCTCTTGATTCCCACATTTTCCTCCTACCAACACTTTTTCTTATGCCAATCATAGCAAAACAAGAGCTGGCTGCATAGTTTGCATTCTAACATCTGGATTACTCTGACTACTCCCCGCAACCTCCTATTTCACCCATGACCTGCAAATACTCAAACCCAAAGGATACTTCTTGGTCCCCATGCTATTTGGCCCTCAGCTCACTAGTGTAATGGACCATTTCCTTCTTGAATACTCTACATCTTCTCCCTTTTTATTTTTTAAATGGAGTCTCGCTCTGTCACCCAGGCTGGAGTGCAATGGCGTGATCTCAGCTCACTGCAACCTCCACCTCCCAGGTTTCAAGCAATTCTCCTGCCTCAGCCTCCGGAGTAGCTGGGATTACAGGTGCCCACCACTGTGCCTGGCTAATTTTTGTATTCTTAATAGAGATGGGATTTCACCATATTGGTCAGGCTGGTCTCAAACTCCTGACCTCATGATCCGCCCACCTCGGTCTCCCAAAGTGCTGGGATTACAGGCGTGAGCCACCGCGCCTGGCCCATCTTCTCCTTCTATAAGAACATTACTTCTCCTGAGGTTTGCTGGCTCCTCTTTTGCATTTTCCTTTATGACTCTCCTTTGTCTCTGAAATCTCCAAATGATGATGCTCCCCAGGGCTCAGCCAGTCATCACTTACAGGCCCTGTGAATGGGCAATGAGCTGATCCTTTGGAATGATGAATCACAGCTACGCTCATTCACTCTGCCGTTGACATTTGCAACACAGAACTCCTCTCTCAATGGTTTACTCACGTCCTCTTGAGGTCCTCTCAGATACCTCTAACTTCATGTATCCCAAGTAGAACAATGGATCTGTCTTCTCAAAACCGCTAATGGTCTCTGTTAGTGGCATTTCTGTTCACTCCATTTCCTCAAGCCAGAAATACAGGAGACATCCTTGATTCCTCCTTTCCCTCACTCTCCATCCAATCTATTAGCAAAGATTGGTAGGTCTACATGCAAAATATGCCTGATTTCTAAGATAACTTCATCTCTTGCCGGGACCACTGCCATCACATTCTCACTATCCCCCTCTCACTTTATTTGGGTAGCCTCCATCCCATCTCATGTTGTGGCCCATGAGATAGAAGCTCCCCACTTTTATCTCACAGGCCACATCTTAAGCGTATGACCACATTTTGCTGCAAGGGTGGTAGGAAATTTTACTTTTCTTTTTGGGAAGCGATGTGTCCTGGTGACAACTGGGGTTCTGTTATTAAGGAGGAAAAACAAAATAGGTTTGAGGGGGTGATGGAGGGTCTCTGCCACATGGCTGATGGGAGGAGCCTGTCACTATTCCCTGCCTGGGAGGAGTAACTGAGTGTCAGACCAGAAAGATTGAAACATCTTCTCCATTTTCCTTTGTGTTTCCAGTCATTCTTCATTTAATAACCTGCAGAGACACAGAATTCAGTGATAAGAAAAAGGGTAATCTGGTTTACCTGGGAATCAGGGGAAAAGATCTCTGTCTCTTCTGTGAAGAAATTCAGGGCAAACCTACTTTGCAGCTTAAGGTGAGTGATTGTGCAGCTAATGAGAGAAGTACTGTCAAATGGACTTTTTATTTCATTTAATATGCTACTGAATAAAAATAAGATTCTTGCCATCCTGGGTTACTCAATGTAAGGAAATAATTCTGACCTGGCTGATCCCCGAATCTACAAATGCTGCCTTTGGAATGGATATAACACTTCTTTTAATGTCAGAGCATAGATCCTCTGAAAGATAGCAAGTACACTCACAGGAATGTTTCAGAAAAGCCAAAGAACAGTAGTTTCTCCATTCTCAGTCCTGCTTAACTGCCTTCTGGAAATCCTCTAAGATGATGGGATGCTCTCACTACAGCAAAGGCCACTGCACAGCAGAGGAGACAAAAAGAGATTGTGAATGTGAATTTTGAAGATTACATGTTTATGATCCGTGTATCATAAACACATAAATCTTACCAAGGCAATATTGTAGTTATGAAGCTAATCCTTCTGCTATTGATGGAAGTTGTAATGTGTAAGCCCACTTGGAGGTTGAGGATGCAGCAAGACTGGCAGGAACCGGCAGACAAATGCATACCAAAAGCACCAAGAGAGAGATTTAAGCCTCCCTCTGTTCCAGGGAAGACAATGATGCTTCAAAGAGTCAGAGTACCTTGTGTCAGAGGATCCTGGAGTGGAGCCAGGCTGTGGGAACCCAGCCAGTTCCCTGTTTTAACAGTCTAATGCCCTGCTTCATCTGCCTTTGTCCCTAGCCTCTGTCCCTTCCTTTGGGGGCAGCAGTCCCTCTCCTGTTATACACTCAGGGCTGAGTTACTTTAGCTTCCTCCTCCCACCCTCCTCTCTAACAAGCCTCTTTTCCACCCCCAGGAGAAAAACATCATGGACCTGTACATGGAGAAGAAAGCACAGAAGCCCTTTCTCTTTTTCCACAATAAAGAAGGCTCCAGTTCTGTCTTTCAGTCAGTCTCTTACCCTGGCTGGTTCATAGCCACCTCCTCCACATCAGGACAGCCCATCTTTCTCACCCAGGAGAGGGGCATAACTAACAACACTAACTTCTACTTAGATTCTGTGGAATAAATCCAGCCTAGGCTGTGGATAGAGAATCAAGCTGTCAGAGTCATCTTAACAGACCATCATGTGACTGAGTTCACCAGCACTTCAGTCCATCCATAGCTTACCTCATTCTTACCATCCAAAAGCCACCTCCTCCTCCAAACATCCATTTCTGTACCAACACCCTCACTTGAATTTCACTATCCCAGATTGAAACCTAAGAATCATTTTCCATTCTTTCTTGATTTTTACCCCACCATCCACTCAGCTGCCATGCCCAGTTCAATCAACCACCCAAATGCTGCTTCATGCAACCCTCCTTTCCTATTCCTTTTGCCAACCCATGATGTAGAGATGTGGATTCATGACATTTTTGTTCATACAACTTTTTCAATAAAAGAATAGGATGCATTAATTTTTTATGTGTTTATTATGAACATTCTAATATTACCCCAAAAATAAAGTGAAAGAATGGGATGAATGTGAAATTAAAAGTTTGCATGTCTTCATAATCGTAATGAATTCTTAATCTCATTCATTAATAATTTAACAGTGTATACACTTAACCCTTGAACAACACGATTTTGAACTGCACAGGTCCACTGAAACACTGATTTTTTTCAATGAAAGTTACACCAAATGTCCCTGCTTCTTCCGCCTCTCACTCTAACTCCTCCACCTCTTCTGCCTCTCCATCCCTGAGACAGCAAAAACAACCCCTCCTGTTTCTTCTCCTCAGTCGATGTGAAGATGATGAGGATAAAGGCTGTTATGATGATTCACTTCCACTTAATGAATAACAATAATATGTTTTCTCTTCCTTACGAGTTTCTTATTAACATTTTCTTTCCTCTAGCCTACTTTGTTGTAAGAATAAGTTATATAATACATAAAACATACAAAACATGTTAATTGTTTATATTATTGGCAAGGCTTCTGGTCAACAGTAGGTTATTAGTTAAGTTTTTAGGAAGTCAACAACTACACATGAATTTTTGACTGTACTGCTACCCCCATGTTGTTCAAGGGTCAACTGTACTTTGGTTAAGATAAGTTGCTAACCATGGAGAATGTAAACCAATCCATATTTTAAAAAATCATTTATATTGGTTTTAATTTCTTTCAGACAACTTCTAGAACTGGATTTTTTTTTTGTTTTTACTTTATAAAGTAGCTGGAAGAAGCATTAGCTATGACACTTTCTTGTTATTATTCATGTTTTCTGGAATTTTGTTCGTATACATTCAATCTACAGCTCTTTTATAGGGATACTTTTAAGCCAGTTGTCCATTTTGTGAGGGTTATTTTAATTGAAGTTTGTAATATAATCTGCAAATTCACTAACGAAGTACATGTAGACTGCAATAAATATACCATAATATCCTGAGCATGAACATGAGCATAACAGGCTGTCTTCTCTCATGAGACCTTGTCCTTCTTTGCACATGACAAGCAGGCATATTGGGTCTTGCAACGGGCACCGACTGATAAATTCAAATTTCTCAGCCAGGCATAATTTGTCCCCAAACCTATGCTTCTGGCATTATCTCTCATTTCTTCAGTGCCCCCCCCCATTCTGTTTGGGATACTCCTTGAACCCCACCTTACATGCTGTTAGCAGACATTTTACTCCAGTCATTACCGTGCAACCAACTTTGAAACAGTGTAACCTGGCAGTGTATTATCTCAGCAACATTGAACATTTCTCTCTTCCAGCTTCAGGCCTCCCAAGATAACGTAGGGAAGGATACTTGCTGGAACCTAGTTGGAATTCACACATGCATAAACCTGGATGTGAGAGGGAGCTGCTGCATGGGAACCCTTGACCAATGGGGAATGGGAGTGGGTGAGGAGCAACTTCTCTTATCCGTTCCACAGGTGGACAGTTCTGAGAGGCATTCATTCTTCATGGTTCCTCAGAGGTTCCCAGCAGCATTGAGACGTAATCACCCATGGCAGGGCTAAGTTCAAGAACACATCCTGAATTGACTTCCCTCATTTCCCTGCTTCAATTTCCCCAGCCCCTTCTCATGTTTCCTAGGGTCACTTGTCATCCTCTTGCATGCAAACGCTTGTCTCAGGCTCTGCTTTCTGGTATAAACCCAGGCTAAGACAGATTCTATCAAAACCAACTTCTCTTCTCTACTCCTCCAACACGTTGAATTTCTTCCCTCTATGTCCCTGCTCATGCCTTTGCACACATCTCAAACAGTTCCATTGCTACCTATGTCTTACTAACATCCTAAATCCCTTCCAGCTGTTTAGGGGACTCTCCTCATCTCCCCAACCAAAGGCAACATCTTATCTTCTGCGAGGTCTGCAGCATTTTTGCCTTCTCATGGGACATTTATTTTCTCAGGCTTTGTGCTATAGCTTCTTCTCCTTGTCTTGGCCCATTTGCTCTCTTCTCCTCAACCAAATTCTAGGTACATAGAGGCAGAAATTTGTCTCTTTCATTTATGAACTCCCTTTATATACCAAATCTTCCCTCCCTCTTAGCAGTTTCTCAGAATATATTGTTGAAGCAAATTAATTTTCATTTAATGTATTAGCATCTTCCCATTAATACCAAAGTGCGTCAGGGAGAATCTGCATTATCACGGCCGGGGCAGCCCTCAACTTCAAGAAGGGTCCAAGGAACTGGAAAGCTTCTCAAAGAAAATGGAGAGGAAAAACATAGAAAGGCTGCTTAGAAACTTCCCTGTCTCAATTCTTCCTCCTTTTCCCCATAAGCCAATATGGCCCCAGGGGAATGCGATGATACAAGGGCATCCACTCGGGAGGAGATGGCTGCAGAAATGAAACATAACTGAGAGTGTCCCCAGGAGCTTCTAGCCAGTATCCTGTGCCTCCCTCTTGGAGGGCTCGGTGCATAGTCTGAGGGTTTGCACTTTGTCCAAGCCTTTCCCCATATGTATTTATGCATAAGCACAACAGCACAGGGGCACAAGAGAAGGAGCCCGGGGAAATTCACCATTGCAAATGTTTTCTCTGACAAGGTCAGGACTAAGCACAAGATGGCCTCGAGTATGGCCATGAGAGACTTGCAACAATATACTTGGATACACAGTACATAGATTTTCTGAGAAGGGCTGCAAAGAATGTGAGTTCTGTAAATAGCTAAATGTATAGAAAGAATCTATAGGAAGATGGTGATGAAAAACACAACGTAATCCTGGACTGTGCTTATAAATATCAGCTTCCCAGCTATCCCGGGGTACTGAACATGAGGATGAGATAGACAGCCAGCCCACCTTACATCGCACCACCTGTGCCCTCTGCCAGAGGAGTGAGAACATTGTGGTGGTGAAGGAGGAAGAAGAGGAGGAGAAACCACAGAAAGACTCAAGAGGTGTCCTCAGATATTTTATTTGCTCTCCTGGATCCAGGGATATGATGTTCTTTGCTTAAATCTAAGAACCACAGGAGAAGGCACGGGACAACAGATTTCTGTTCAATCTGTATCAGAAGGCACTACCCAAACAATGTGGGTTTCCTAAACCTTGCAAGGAGGTAGGCTAATTCCTTGTCTGTCTGTAGTATGGAAAAAATAAGGCACACACACACACACACACACGAAATAGAATATCGATAAATGGAGAAAGAGCATGAGCAGTGTTATTCCCCCTGTTCCAGTCTCTGAAGTTCTAGTTCCTGTGACCTTTTTTTTTTCCCCCAGCCTGTGAGATACTCTAATATTCAAAGAGATGTTGGTGCTTTTGTTGCTTTCTTAAGCAACAGTCATGGTCCTCAGGCCCAGGACTATCGAATGGTGGGCTTTTCACAGGGTGGTAGAGTACCCTTGTGACACTCAAAGACAGTTTGTGCCCTGAATCTCTTCCATTCAGAAACCTGAATGCAAGTCCATTTCAGAGATTCCTACACGCTTCCACCCATCCTTTCTCTTCAATTTCCGTCAGCATGCATATCTGCCCTGCCCTTCCCTCAACTTCAGTTTCCTTTATTCTTCAGAAGAGAAAATGTAAAAAACTCTATAACCTTGCAACTGAGAATCTTTGTCTCTCACTTAGGTCAATAAGTTTATTTTAACGTTGTTGATGATCTAATGTGAATTAGGGGCAAGAAAACAACAACTTGGGTTGTCAATAAGAAAGAAGGGGAGATAAATATGCAGTTAAAGAACAGATCAGTTAACTACCTTATTAGTTTGAGTAGCTTACAAGTAGATTTCTGATTATAAAAAGAATACTTCAGATTCTAGGCCATATGGTTGGGAAGTAACACCAGAAATAAGTGAGTAAACTACATGGAAACCCATAATGTCATTCTGTTAATGAATTTCTCCTTAACTAAGGATGCAATTAAAAAGGAGACAGAGACTAGCAAAGACTGTGCAGTTGACAATATCTAACAGCAACCATCAAAAGATCAAAAACCATACACTGATGTTCTCTGTTTCTTGTACAGTTTAGCAGGTTAAATTTTGCAGATTACAGCTCTAGTTCTCTAAAATCAGTTTTATCTATGCCTATAATAGCAGTATGGCCATAATAAAAGCCACATCTACCTGACCAAGGCCAAATCCACTAGTAAAAGCTTCTCTGAACTCACCGTGCAGTTTGAACCCCAAACAACAAAGCTTGTGTTTATCTCAAAGGAAGTGTCAGGATCAATAATTTGAATTATTCAACAAATATGTTTTGAGAACCTATGCTGTTCTTAGTGCTGGGGACATAGTAGTAAACAAAAAGGGGAAAATATGGCCATCCTCATGGAACTGACATTAAATTTTGAAGGTTTGTAGGTAACAGTGCCTCCTTCCAATCCCCATCCACGTTCAAACATTTAGAAACTATGTTGATGCCAAAATCAAAATCATAGCAGTGTCTTTATTATTGCTACAGCTGGGTTAGGGAAGTGAGAGGTGCCTCCTAGTCTTTTGGGGCCTCAGTCTAGACTTTTGGGGCCAAAACCATGCCCACCAACTCTAATTTCATTTTCTCCAGCCACTGTAATAATCCGTCACTCTTCAGCAGATCCAAGTGAGTAAGGCTGAGTGGAAGGCAAACTCCAAGCTGCTCCATGCAGCCTCAG